AACAATGTTGTCTGGAAACATTTTCCTAGGTAAAAATATGTTAATATTTAGCTTTTTTTATTTCCTGTTATGGATTTTAAAATATTCCTAGTTCATTCAGGGTGTTTCAAACATGAAATACTTACCGAAACCGAAATACAAATAGACTACATGTGATGCAACAGTACGTACAGAAGAAGATCAGCAAAAACATCTGACGTTGTAGGAGTCAGTCCCGGATCCCGGACGTCCGTTGATGTTGTCATGTTAACACCAACGCCTGTTGATAAATAGCAACACTTTAGGTGTGGGTAATAACCGTTTGCTAGATCATTGCCTACTAATATGCAAATTGTATGTTAATGTAGGCCATTTGAAACGGGCCAACGCTCTAGGAGAGACTGCACTCAAGCCTGCTATTCTTTGTGGAAAACAATAACAGATAAACTGTCATCTCAACTTGGATCGTTAAACTATGCTTTATTATAGACCTTACTTTGCATGGCTTTTGATCTTTAAATTGAAGTATTGATGTTTTCGAATCCATACTCTAATCCTTAGTCAAATTCTCAAGTAGACGTGGTTGGAAAGGGATGTGAATTATGACTGTCTTTCCAATTCGCACTCTATGCGCTTTCGTCTACGAAAATCTTAATGAGCCAGAAATGATCATTATAGCCTCCCTATCATTTGCCGGCAGTGTTTATCTGCTTATGTCCCAGTTTTTCTCCATGAAAGAGCGCCTTCGCATTGATAAAACCCTGATATACATGACAAAAACACGGGAATTTTATAACTCCAGGTTGAACGGAATAATATATGCAGAAACATTAAAATGTTACTAGTTTGACGTTTAAAGTTCTTTTTCAATCCATCCTTCTGTCCATCTCTCCAACTTATTTTCTATACGTGAAATCCAAGTCGATATTCTCGTGGGCGTTTTTGAGCATGCACGTATTCTTCAGCCATCGTTGACAATTTTTTTACGAGCGGGCACCAGACACTGCAAGTACTTTCTCAAGAAGTATGTAGCATTTGAGGGTGTTAATGTCTATTTAATGTACATTTGTCTGATGATCGCCTCCGGCCTGTGTGTAACTCCAACTCCAAGTTGTGTGCGGAGACGACTGATGACATTCTCCGTTTAAATAAGAGATGACAGGCACTTCATTTGCACGTTTGTTTAAAGTTACCTAACTTAGCTTATGCTTTTAAACTTAATCTCATAGATCAATATACTGCTAAGCATAGGTGCTCATATTAAGGAATTTAAAATTGCTTCAATATGAAGACTGCTAAAGGTTTGAGTATACCACCTAAAGTTCTCCGCTTGTGAAATTCTAGACGTAAGACATCAAGTTTAACGAACGTACGCTATTGATTATTCATCATATGGCCATAAAATAATGTAAGGGAGTTTAGAGTAAGGATCTTTTAAACATCCAACAATCACTTAGTATGGAAGAGAGGGTTGAGGGTGTTCAGAGGGCAGGTGTTATAGTCTAGTCCTATCAGCTGTTGCTGGAGTGTGAGGAACGGAATGAATTTGTCTGACACTAAGGTATGTTTCTGCTTCGTCGCTGTATCGTGACGTGGCAGGAGGTGTGATCACATATGTTGAGTTCGTTTTCGTACAGGGAAGTCTTCGCCTGTGAATAAAAGCTTAATGCGAGCAAGAAGTTGGTTGTCAATACGTATGGCCACTGTCACTGACTTTGCAAGTATCCGCTGATGTGGGAGCTTGAACTGTTTCCTCGGCAATTTACAGATTGCTCGAAATGCCCAACTCTCAGCACTCTCTCCCATACTTATTGCCTATTTAATGTTTAAATTTTGTTATTCCACTCTCCCTAATATTACTGTAAAGGTCTGACTATGAATAATCAAAAGCGATCGCTCGCAAACTTTCACTTCTTGAATACTTACTTGGGTATTATTGTTGAACTAAAGTGCTAGATTATCGATCTTATAGCGTCAGCTGACTTCTGAATGAGTATGGCGTTTTAAATTGACCTTAATAGTTTTATCTGTCTTACACTTTGCGATCATGCATAAACGTTGACGCTTTTGCGAATTTCTAAAATCATAGTCATGTCAAAATCATAGTCTATGTAACACTTCCAGTTGCGGTCCTCATTAAAAAGGAAAAATATCAGCCCAGGCTTTTGCGCGTTTTCATAAACTCATTCACGTCAGCTATATTGTAATGAGCAATGTACTATTGTGCCGAAAGCGTGAACTATCCGATGGTGGTCTCACACTCTTTTCCACATTTCCTAGACTACCCGAAACTGGAACCTAGTTGATGATGAGATTGGCACAGTGGCTGACACAGTGTGAAAGCCACTGTCTAAGGCATGTCACAGGCATCAACAGTAATGATCATTTGTCCACGCTGATTCAACACCGTCTGGAAAATGCGTGTCGTGTGTCAATCTATCCCAACCTTTGTTACAGCACGTCCAAACCGAAGGCTATTCTGTGGACCTAGTGGAAAAATAGAAGTATACAACAGAAATGGTAATGGAATAAATGTTCACTATGCACAGAATGAGATAAAGCTACAGGTCCCTTTTCATCCTTTGGTCCTCTTAAGCCTAGCATCATAAGCCAGCAAGTTGTAAATTTGCAAACTTCGGGATACTTACAATGTCTGGTTTTATCATGCAGGCCTTGAGCAATTCAAGCAAGAAGAAACAACATAAAGGAGGTATTGACCAATCCAACCCGCATTTATAGTGGAACTGTTATTGACCTTGGATTCTAGTCGACGGCCCTCGCAAATGGGTACCCATATCGCTGTCTTTTAGATTTGTACAACTTGCAACTTAAGCAAATTGTTTTGTTCGTCAAAACGTGGCAGTTTTTAAAAAACAATCCAAACCTGATGGGTTGCTGTGTGCAACTCAGTTAAGCGAATCCCCTCCGAGACCATAAATGTGGTTAGTATAAAAAAATTATCACATCGATCATGGCTAGAAAACTATGTGTGAAATGAAAGCTTCTAGGTATAAAATGCACAAACCTGGCTTTATTAAGGTAGCCATGGTGGTGCCTATTGCAGCCCCGGCAAAATTAAAGAAGATTATGTATGCCACTGTCAGAAGACTGGCAAGCCCATGCTCCTTCGGATCCAACGACGCAATGACTAAAATAAGAATAGTAATGAAACTGCTTGCATCGGCCTAGAGGATTTTGCAGAACAAAAATACGACTATTGACCTTGTTTGGTTAGTGTTTTTAAAATGAATACTCATCAGTTTTGATTTGAAGTAAAGTGGACATTCTCGAAGACGTCATTGGGACCGTTAGTCTAATTTTCGGCAGTAAACCCAAGTAGGATGCAGCGCTCAACAGCAGATGGTTCCCTGGTCATTTAAAGCCTATTTATTTCCAAGAATCTATAGCAATAGGACAAGTTCAGTAAACTGCAACCCTTGTTCAAGGCATTTGTGTCCCTTTCCATGCAATACCCCTTTTTCGCAATGGAACCAATTTGCAAAATATGCATTTTTGAAGCAAATTAACTTTTGGCAAACAAGGATTAGTAATCTTTATAGTTAACTCTGATCTACTATTTGGTTTGCATTATACCGCATTAACTGTGCTGGTCGACAAAGTTTTAGCAGTCCCTGTTGCATCTACGGGACATCTGATTCCGTACGATCTGCGTTTGATCCAATTCACTGCATCGTAGTCTCCACCGTATTGTTCATACTTAAATGCGAAGGGCAACGGCACTTACCAACGTGTGCGGCATGCCTTAC